ATCAGCCAATTTGATCGACGGCTCGTCAATCAACAGAGGAAAATAAATGACGGTGTTTTAAGACTTTGCGATTCATTCAACTTGACAACTTTGAGGTCAAATATCTCCCCTTGCCAGAAAGCTACAACGCCAATTTTGAATTCTCCTTTATAATCCATCGTTTCGTCTCTGAATACCATCAAAAAAATCTTTTGGTACCATCGCATTTTTGTCTTTTATGCCTTTTAAAATCTGCTACTGTGACAAGCTCTCTCAACTGCACCTGTAACGCAATTCTGGCTCTAGGCGGTCACTTGACCAAAGAAACCCGCATTTTATAGCTCGTTATACAAGATGATTGATCAAGAAATCGAAGAAATGAGAAAAACTTTGGAGACTTTTTTGTAGGAATGGAAAATTTCACGTTTAGAGATATGCATGTAGGCGAAATGTTGATTGGAAAACCACAGCGATTCTTTCTTCTGTCGTTTATTACTTTGGAGATTTGCTAAAATCAGCAAATACGGCTTTTGTACGGCACAAAACATTTAGTATCTATCGTTTGATTGTTTATCATTATATTTGCTCATTGTAGGAGATTTGAATGTCGCACGCTGAGTGTTGGTTGACATTATTACAAGCTCCAGTGTGCGACAACTTCGGCTTTTACAGACGAGAAATTCTGCGCTCTCGCATGAGAGGAAATATCAATAGCTCTATCAAACTGAAAACTGTATTAATTTTCCGAAAATAAAATTAAAATAGCGTTGTCGTTGTCACTTACCGTCATCGAACATTTCCATGCAGAACTCCGCCAAACTAACATCTGTGGCGTGACTCGAAGGCTCTTCGTAGGAATTATTCAAAAGCGTTTCCCATGCTGTCTGCTAGATAACAATTTCAGAATATTCTGTAGATCTCAATGTTTATTTTCTTGCTTTCATCGGAAACCATCTGCATTTTTTTAAAGCATAGAGATGTCATTGTGAAGACACCTACTGCATGAAAGCTGTTTGGTAAAATAAAAATTGGACGACGCACAACATAAACTTATCAAATGTGCGCTCACCCTCATCAAAGATTCCTACTTACAATCATTATGTACGAGGCAATTAAGAGGAAAGTTGGAGGAAGCGTGCTTAGGATTAAAGACAGTTAAGAATAAAGAAGGGTACCTCCGTAACTTCGTGACAATAAGCGATAAATAGAGTGTTTAACTCGATAGCTCACGAGTGAGATGTCGAGTTGAACACAAGAAGAGAAATTCCATATCTAAAAGCAATCATGTATTATTTTGTTTATCATATAGACACAATAGCCCTTTACTGAGAAGAAAAGCTGAATTCATGAAAGAATGAAAATGAATGAATCGACAACTCTCGAATAACAATTGTAGAGTGCGTTGGCGCTAACTCTTAAGATGGAAAAATGCGTTGAATCACAATAAAACAAACAACAATGGTCGTCATTTTCAATTTACAAAATTCTCATTTATTGACTTTGTCCTTACCGACAGGGGAAGTCTTTCAGGTAAGCGGCCAAAATTGGCCAGTGAAAAGTCTTCCAGTTGTCGATTTTCATTCTCAGCTGAGAGAACTGCTAACACCAAAGCCGCTGAATACGTAACCCAATGAATATCTCAACAGCCGCCGAAAAGTTCAGAGTTTAGTGTATCAAGTCATATATATAGAAAAGCCAATCCTCCACACCATCGCTCGCTGCCCTTTAGTGTTTCTGGCCATCACTGGAATCAGTCATTAGCCCCTTTTTTTTTAAGTAGACGGTGTGGATTTTGATTTATATTCTTCTTTTGTCGCCAGAAGAGGTTGGTATATAAGACTGCTACGTATAAAAATTTTATCCATCATCGGACAGCGGTGGCAGCCACAAAGTATCTCACTCACAGAGCATGGAGAGGCTTAGTGCAGCTGACGTCTTTGAGTGCGATGTTGATACACTTCTTGATTTTGTTCATAGCAGGTAATAATATTAATAAAGTTGGGGACTAGGGTGGCAACTAGGATTTGCACCAGAATTTCAAAGACTATCTAATTCAATTTTCCCCTGAACTTAAAAAAATCGTCCTTTTACTGTGGATCGATGGTCGCGGGAAGCTTGGGTCAAATGAGTCTGGAACAAAAGTTTGTTAAGGTTCAAATGGTTTCGTTATTTGGAAAAACCTATTCTTTTTGATGGATTATAGCTTCTACACTTTTCTGTTTGTCTCCTTGAAATCGATGTTCAAAAATGCCCAAAGAACTGTAATCAAACTGGGTTTGTTTTTTTAAACAATTAAGGCTACCATAGCAACATTACAACTTCAAGGAGACAGGTTTGTTCTTCTATCAATATAAAAAACCTCATTAATAATAAAAGTGATCAAAACAAATCAAGAAACACGAGCACATTGTTTTGACAACATTAATATTTTCGAGGGAAAACACGAAGTAATGTAAATACATCGAAGGTATGCTAAAAGACTTCCACCAATAGAAAAAAAAATCAAGTGATTCTCCTCAAAGATTTCATTTGCGGAGAAATAATCGTTCAATATTTTTGTACGGTCATTTTTAACTTGTGCGCCACCACGATGCTGAAATAACTTCCAATAAACAATAACACATTTTGATTTCCTATGGAACTCTATGATAATTGAAAACCCACCTTTTCATTTCTTTTTTTATTTTCCTACTCGTTACAAAATCGGAATATAATGGACTTACTTCATCAAATTCGTTCGTTAGAGCTTCTTATCGATAAGTGAACTTTTGCTTGTAGAGTCAGACAGAGGTGCTTGTTTTGATTATTAAATGGATAAAAAAAACAGCTAAGTGCTTACGAAGGAGGACTTCTCCCTCTTGAGACTAAAAATGATAACAAACAATAATGATAAAAATATCAATAACAATTACAAAAAAAAAAGGTAGCAACTTTTACTACAACATCATTCCAGTTGTCGATAATGTCTGCAATGAAAGAGGATAGGAAGTCATGCCGTGTGTCAGTGTACATCAAGTGAAAAGTTTGAAACTTGTGTAGATAACAAAGCTAATTTGAACTTGTGAAAATCAATTTCTACTGATTCATTAGCTCCAATATGAAGCCTTTATTGCTAAACGGGAGCAGTAAATCATGGAGAAGGAACATGATTCACAGGAAGTTCTTACCAGAGAACCAAAATAAACATCGTTATGTTAATTTAACAAAGCATCATAATCCCTGCTGTTGTATATGTCTTTCAGCAAAAAAAAGGGGAAGACGGAAATATTCACAGAAATATGGATATGAAAGGTGTCGAGGAGGTGAATTACCTAACTTAGCTTGTAACAAGGCTCCATGATAATCATTAGCTCCAATATGAAGCCCTTATTGCTAAATGGGAGCAGTAAATCACGGAGAAGGAACATGATTCACAGGAAGTTCTTACCAGAGAACCAAAATAAACATCGTTATGTTAATTTAACAAAGCATCATAATCCCTGCTGTTGTATATGTCTTTCGGCGAAAAAAAGTGGAAGACGGAAATATTCACAGAAATATGGATATGAAAGGTGTCGAGGAAGTGAATTACTTAACTTAGCTTGTAACAAGGCTCCATGATAATCAAAACTTATCCATCACGAGTATCATGACACACAGGAAGTTCTTACCACCACCAAAATAAACAGTGGTTACATGATAATTTGGCAAAGTTTCACAATGCCAGCTGTTGTGCATGTGTAAAAACGACAAACAAGGAAACCATCAAATGAATTCTTCATTTTCACAAACTAAGCTTACATCTATCCATTTCTTTAACGTACGCATTTTCAACGACGAGCCAATTTAGTCAATTACATTATGACACAGAACTTTTGCGAGCTTTACCGGTCTAAACGTCTGCTCGATTATGCTATGAATATAAAGTTTTAGGAACATTGCGTGACCTAAAACAATTCTTTCAGGTCCAATTTATCCTAATTCAGCACAAACGGTTTAAATATCAGTGTGCTTATCATTTAACAAATTTCATTTATCATTCCTAAAATGGGACGACAGTATGGATATGAAAGGTGTCGTGGAGGTGAATTTCCTGACGTGTTACACGGCTGCATAATTTCAACTGTTATTTATCAATTATTCATGATAGCATGTCAGGCTACAGAATGATGTGACAAAACTTAATTATATCAATTGACAGGCAAATTATTGCTGAACCGAACAGCGTTCTAAACAAACATTTGTATTGGTGGAAACTAAGGCAGAACAGCTGACATACGAAATAATTTGACTGCCATTGGTATAACCAGCGTCAGAATAATTTTCATTGTTTCAAACTTCCCCTGTCATGATGAGTAATATAAAGTAAAGAATTCGTTTCTTAAGCATGTGTTTAATGGACTAGAACTTTTCTAAAGGTTTCTGTATCATGTATTCTGTTTCTGTCTCCTTTCTCTTATTGGAGCTCTGCTTTATGATACAAAGGGCTGTCAGATCACAAGGTCAGTTTCAGTATGACTTATATCCAATCCATGTTTACCTTTGGTTCGAGTATTCGTTTTTTTGGGGAGGAAACGTTTTATTCAATTATAAAAATTCGTCATTAAGTCAGAAAATTAGCTTTTTCCACCTATATTAACTGAAGAATTGTCGTTAATCAAGGCACAGATAGTACTTTGAAGAAGTATGACATTTCCGTGTACGTAAGTGCATTAATTAATTAATGAACCCCCTAAGTCGTCTTCCTCCACTGACCCAAACTGTTCAGAGATTGCCGTCTTTCCGAAGCCTTTAAAACAGCCCTTGAAACAGGCGAAACAGAAATGAAATAATTTTCAATTTAATAATAGGGAATTTTTGCCGTGTTTACATACTCTCATAATAACACCTGAGACATTGTCGGGGGTTTGTATATCCCTTTTCGTATAGAAATAAAATAGACGAAGAAAAAATTAAAGTCTAACACAATTGATGATGAAATGTCACCTACCAAGTTTTCCGTAATTCTTAACATATCATCATAAGCAATAACGTTACGTATAATGTATTATAATTTCCATTTCAAAGACGTCTGCATCGCAGACCAGTGTCGCAATTTGGAGTTTGGGCCTGAGAAAGCATTTGACGGGAAACGCCTCATAAACCACACAATTCGCACCGTGGAAATTACAAATTCCGGGTTCTGCGAAAACCTGTGTTATATGGAGCCCGACTGTGTCAGTATTAATCTTTATACATGGGGAGATGGAAATGGAAACTATCAATGTGAACTAAACAATGCTACTCATGAAGGACACGAAGAAAAGTTGATAGACCAAGAGATGTATTCTTATCACGCAGCTGAGGTAAATGTAACTTTCAATTTAAGAGTCAGATTGGTTTATTTTGTTTTTCTTTTTAAAACTCTGAGTCTCGTGTTCACCTTTAATTGCGAACTTGAGTTGTTTTTACTCTTTCAAGACATTAGCGGTAATATTTCCTCTGTGCTCTTCACCAAAATCTCCTCAAAGACAAAGCATTTAAAGTTATCGGAAAAATATAGAAATAGAAGGACAACTATGATAACAAGGATAACGATAACGATATTGATAACCGTAGTGGTCTAGTAGAGGATGAAAATGATTATAATGATGATAATGATAATGACAATGACAACGGTTTGTTTATTCTGTCAGAGCAATTGTGTCCAAAACCCTTGTAAAAACAATGCCACTTGTCAAAGCGGATTTACTAAGAAAGGTTATCGGTGTCTTTGTACCGCTGGATTTGAGGGTCCGATTTGCCAAAGAGGTAAACACAACTTTTATGTTGATATCTTGAGACCTTCAGGTTAACAACAACGAGGAAAACCTTTAGCGCGCTGCTTGTTAATTGGGTCTCATAGAATAAAAGAGCTTTTCCTTTCCCCATGTAGCTTAAACCGTTCTTACTAGTCAGTAAAAACCGAAGGACAGCAGGCCTTTGTCACGGTTTCTTCACCAACACAACTCAATAACGAAATTTAAAGAAAGTGCATTAACCACAAGCAATAAGGTAATAAGCCACCTGCAGAACTTTCCGCATTAAAATAAAAGGAAGATATGAATGTTTCGCAGCTCATCAGTACTGCTTATGACCTTCAAGGCGGCTGTTGATCGATTCATTTTGAAAAATTTGTGTAGTAATCATGAGAAACCTAAAACTACGTTTACCATACCAGGAACAGTATGTGAAGGAGGCCTACGCATTTATTGTGGTTTTCACAGTTGTTGGTGCTTCTATGCTTTTTTTTTTGTTTTTTTTGGTACGATAATTTTGTTTTCATTTATTTGTTAATTTTTTTTGTTCAGACATCAACGAATGTGTTCGTGGGATACACAAATGCAGCTCTGATGCGTTTTGCAACAATACCAAAGGTTCATACAATTGCACATGCAAAAATGGATTCACGGGAAATGGACGAGAATGTAAAGGTGAGCGTTGGATTTATTAGCGATTATGCAATTAAAAGATAAAGCTTACATTTGCAAATTATCCACAAAGGGATGGGAACTTACATCTCGATCTTTTCAGCAAGAAAATGTATAGTGAAACTGGACACGAGGAAAGATATATATGGACGAAATCTCACTGAAAAAAGTTATTCTTGATCACCAAGGTGTTTTTGCACCAAGTAGAATAAATCTTCTGATCACTGTTTCCTAAAATATTCCTTAAATAAGAATATCAAGTAAAGCTGCTGACCTCTCAAGTCATTTGTGTTTCCATCAATTGTTTGTTGGCTTTATATCTATAGACATCGATGAGTGTGTCGGAGGGTTACACTCTTGCGGCTTTGATGCCTATTGCCACAATACCAAAGGGTCTTACAACTGTACATGTAAGCCTGAGTTCACTGGGAGTGGAAGAGAATGTAAAAGTGAGCGTCAATTTTGGAAATATTGAGCAGAGGAAGAGGACTTTCTTATTTCGAACTTTCTGATAGAAATTGTGAAATGCCAGTATATTATCGCTACACCCACGAAAATAAAATACTAAAACCAAAAACTCTGCCTTCTGACTAAAAACCGAAATAGTACAATATAAACAAGAAAGCATCTTGCAATTATATCTGCTATTCTATTCTATATATGCTATTCTTTGTTCATTTATTCGTCTGTCTATTTTTTTTAATCATTTTTATTATTTAATTTGAAGATATCAACGAGTGTCTTGAAACGTTACACACCTGCAGTCCTCATGCATTTTTCTATAACACCAAAGGGGCATACAATTGTACATGTAAACATGGACTTACTGGAAATGGACGAGAATGTAAAGGTAAACGTTGGGGTCGAAATATAGAGGAAAATCAGCCAGTGAAAAGTATAAGTAAGAATTTTGCTACATTAACGGTAGCACTGCCCTTCTACTAGGCATTGAGACCTTTATAAACTATTTGAAGATAAACAGGTACTACAAAGCAAACATTGCAGCGCAAATTTAAGAATCTTGTCACCATTATTATACTATTTAAGGCTACCAAAGGTATAGGATAACCACTATTATTATACATTAGACTTATTATAAAATATCTGATGGGTTGATAGTGACCAATAAATATTTTATAGCGTGTGCACTTGACACAATAACCCAATATCCGTAACTTATATTGCAGCTATCATTTCGAGTTCAAAATTTACTTAGTTTCTAATTCCCTATTCCGTATAATGTTTTAAAACGTTCGCAAGCTCAGATTTTGAAAAATCTATGTAATAAGAAAATTATTGAATTCGGTTTTCGCATGAAATCACGATATATTAAACCTTTTGTATGTGTCCGCGTGATCTCCCTCGTCCTTTGGCTTCGGAAGACAACTCAGATCTCGCTTTTGCTAATTCAAAATATCATACTCAACCTCATCCACAAATTGCTTATTAGCTTAAAAGTTTTCTTCATCTCCTTTTTTTTCAGTTGGTAAGTGCCTTTGAAACACATCCGTCGATGATTCTTAATCGCTTGAATGTTCTCTTCGTGTAAAATCACAAAATACGAGCTGGCATCTGTTGCAGCTTAATACTATTAGTGTGGAAACTTGAACTAAATGCCCAATCATGAGTCTTTGATTTTTTTCGAAATAATCAATTATCTTTCAGACACAACTGGTAATAAACTTGGTAAGCCTTCAAATAAAGTAGAAAGTTTAAAAACTGGATAAAAACATTTATTGTTTTATTAAGATAACAACAATGGATCCTCCCCTGACGCCGTTTCTTATCAATGATGTATTTGAAGAAAACATGCATGCTGTCAAACAAAGTAAATGAAACTGAGAACTCTTTCCAGCTACAAAGCAGAGCTTGGAGCATGATAAAATTATTTTGTCAATCAGTCAGATTGCAGTCAATATAGTTTCCCAATGATGGATTAAGATGAAGCTAAAACAAATTTAAAATTTCTTCTAATCAAAGGTATTTTTAAATTCGTTCCAGGAGGTTCCACGTGTGAAGAAATTCATGACATGTAAGTAGAATTAATTTTCGATATTATTTTTATAGTACGTCAAATATTCCGCTTGCCCGCAATTAGTTTAAGCCCATCACGTCACCGAGTACAGCCCAATTCTCAAACCACATTCCATATGCAAAGAAAGTCGTCCTTTAAACCTTGGTTCATTTAAAAGGGGTGCATTACTGTCCTCACAGAAGAAGAGAAAAATAACATTTGCCCTAGGACATCTATTTGATTCCAGGACAAATAACTAAGCATTGTTGTTATAACAGCTGTTGTTTATATTCCACAGATATTGACGTCTGAAGGATCAACTTTTCGTTTGCTTATTTGTCGAATCATTATTATTGTCGCTCAGTAACTTTCCCATTGTCATTTTCATTCCCACCATTGTAGCTATGACTTTTATAAGCTCCAGTTTTATTTCACCATCGTTGTCTTCAATATTAGTTGTATTTGTTTTTTTCCTTTTGATTCAAAAGATCCAATGTGAGTGGTGTGGTTACCCTTCTTGTTGACTCCCAATCATTGTCCGTTTTCTGTCACATGGGAAATTTTGGGTGTGGCGATGGAGGATGGACACCAGTCATGAAGATTGACGGCAGAAAGGTGCATACGTTTATTAAATAATTATCTCGTGTATAAACCCGCTCTCTTTCAAAACGTTGCAAGTTAAAAACGTGCATGTAACTTATGTATGTCTTTTGTTTTTCATCGAGAAGGTAATATATGAAGAACAGACTCGTTCAAGACTTATTGTGTCTAGTGACTGTTGAGAAAGGATGAAAAAGACTTTAGAAATTTATGCTAACATATTTGTCGCTAATATCATGTAACGGCTAGGTAAGAAATGCACACCATTAAAGTCATAATTCGGTTAAAAGCTGTTCGCAACAAAGAACACATCTCATCTTAGTTAAAGTTCCACACTAGTTAATGGATATGTAGATATCACACTGATTTAAAGAGCTGTCATTGCTCATCCCCTATACAGCGAGGGGAGGGGATAGGTAGAGGAGGATTCTTGGAGGACTATAGAACACCTAGTGTCAATCAATGATTGCCAATGAGGAAAGATCATGGATCACAGGAATATTACAGAGTCTTATGTGGAGCGAGGGGGATCAGGTTACTATTATCGTGACACAATCAAACTCTAATTTGTTTTTGTTACATATAAAAGAGATCAGAATTTCTTTATAGAATAACGACTTCTATCATTCTTCATTCACCTCACAAATGGTTACCATTTCAATGACTCTTGACTGGCGTGCAAATGAACACACAGAAAAACTACCTGTAAGTAGATAGATAGGTCATGCACTGATCTACGGCGCCGAGTCCGTGTCGGAAAAAAATAACCTTAGTCTTCACGACACGATGGCGTAATCACCAAGGTAAATTTAACGGTAAAAGAAATGAGTAATAGATCAATAAATACAGATACACGACAGAACTTCGACAGCAAATATCCATCAATTCGGAGTAAATTTAAAAAATTAATTGCTCCTATATTTCAGACCACCTTTCATTATAATAAGCATTACTGGACAAATTACGAAGGATACAATATTCCCGGAGGAGAAACTGGGTTCGATGGACAAGAATCAAAGCTACCCACCTACTGGAACACATCCTTCTCCAAGATCTGTCTCGGTATGAAGATCGACCAACAGCTCAGGTTCATCGTCATCCATAAGCAAGCTGACTCTCTGTACTCACTGATTGCTGATGGCCAATACCGCGCCACCCCACTGGGTCGTGACAAGTGGAAAGAGTTGATTGGTTCCCAAGGCTCATTACAGGAAAACTGCAACAAAGAAGGGTTCAATGTCGTTTGTTTGAGAAAATTTTCTAAAGCCAGAATTGGCATTGTTAGCAACGGCGGGAATGAGTGTGACTCGTGCGACTCAAGGATCGGATTTGGCACAAGAGGGAGCCCTGACAATTCAAACACGTGCGGTAACGTGGCCGGTGTTTCTCCAGATAATGGATACAAAAACATCAAGGCCATGGGATACATCTTGGTACAATAAATATGACTCAGTTTTCGCAAAAAAAAAAACTTATAATAAGTCTCATGTTCATTACACAGATTTTCCTTGTTTCATGCGCAACCCCTCGGATAGGGACTTATGCTCCCCATAACTGTCGTTTTACCCTGGATCAATCTCGAGCTATTCTTTCTACTAAGTCTATGAAGATAAATTTGAGATACCAAGTTGAACATTCTTTCATGTAAAACGGCATATCAAACAGCATTCAAATATTCTAATAACATAGGTGTCCAACTCGCTTACTATGTCGTAGAAATTATCATTGGCCAATAATGTTTTCTATTATTATCCTCACATTTTAGAAGGAGGAAGAGGTGGACGGGTCAAAATCTCTCCCACTGCCTTTGGATTGTTATGTGTATCACTATAATCCTTAAAGGATCGAAATGGAAAGGAGCAGCTATGCTTTCTGGCCTAAACGAAATTGAGACGATTCTTTAATAAAATAGACTAGTTTATTGCAGCTTTATCTTTCGTTGCCTTCAGTGAGATGTAGATGCACAGTTCCGGACTTCTCAGCTTAACTAAGTTCGGGCGGGGCACTTATCTGATAACTCCCTTGGACTTGCTGCTTAGATGTAACAATCTTCCGTAACTAATCTTGTCTCTCCACCAAATCGCCCGTTTTACACAGCTGCCCTCTTTTCTACGCTCTCTCCTCTCTCCCACTTTATTTACCCTTTCGTTGCAAATCTCCTACTGATTCTCAGAGCCTTATTTCCCGTTGCTGGTCATCCCTCACGGTCAGACTCTGTCTTAAAATGATATTCTTCGAAATGAAAGCCACATACAATTCTCTTTTTATCGCTTTTCACTTTTTTCACTTTAGTTTTCTCCCGGAGACATAAACATTTCAAACAGAATTTATGATACTGCTCCTGTCTGACTAATAAATGGTGCTTCGCAATCACTAAAACGAAAGAAAAAGTCTCTGCAAATTCTCATATTATTTTGTTTTGCTGATAACTTTCTTCGACGCCCAGCCTCGGTACGAGGTCAGCACACATATTCCACTTTTGACATAGACGAGTGACTTTTCTTCTGCCCTGATTTTTCTCCAGCTAAAAAACCTGCTCTGCTCTCTCAACCAATGACATGTCTCATCTATTTCAGCCTCCAGGCAGTTTGCTTATGGTAGCTTTAAAATCTCAATTAGCTCCATGCGATGTGTTCTTATATTCCAATAGGCTGTTGTAGTTTCATTTGTTTTGGTTTTTGACATCCCTCCCATCAACTGAAAAGCTCAAAGCCTTTCCTTTCCTATTCTCAGAATCTATTGTCCTCTACAAGAAGTAAACAAATAAAAAGTGGATAAACAAACACCTATTAAACCTTTGACCCCTAAAAGTGACAAGCGTCTAATTTCTCTTACAATATCACCGCCGGATCAAACATTAAGGTCACCCAAATCAAGGAACTGATCACCGACTAAAGCTCTGGATTGTTAAACTAATTCTCCTCCTCGGCTCCTTAGAAAAATTGGAGAGCAGTGTAGAGAATATGCATCCTGACGTTAGGGCGGAAAAGGTTAACCTTGCAATAGATTGGCATCCCACCCAATTGTGGGTTTGAGGCAGAGTACGCGAAAACTCTAAGGGCCCTCGTGTAAATAACAGGCCTGTTGAAAACTGGACCGAGAGTGTCACGTGGATTTTTGTATGTTTCTTACCCCCCACGAATTGAACTTTGAACTCTTGATAAAAACTCTAAAAAAGAAAAATGAAAAGGAATGCGTGAAAGCTGTCTTGTATATTGTTAATCTGGAATAGTCTTTATTCGAAGTTGTCCTGTTGTATACGTTTTATACATTTGGTGCCGAGACCCGGGACTCGAAAACCGGGATTCTGGCGCTCTGAAGAACGTCTTGAATGAAATTGTTGTGAATGCGAGCTGGAAGCACGTGGGTGACATGTCGCAGTCGGGGAAGAAGAAATTGAAGAATCTGAGGAAATTTCGCGACGGTCATCGAAAGTTTGTCGAGAAAACTATCGAAGATGCTAAAGGGTTAATCGCTGAAGGTAATCTCGTCGAAGTGAAAAGGCTGAAATTTCTTCGAACCGCTCTTGAAACGAAGTATTCGGAGCTTCAATCGCTCGACCGCGAAATTGTGGATCTGGTGGATGACGTTGAAGTTGTTGATACCGAAGTCTGTGAGAGCGGTCACGTTTCGAAAGCTTTCACTCATGCAAGGTTGCCCAAGCTTGAGCTGAAGAAATTCCACGGAAATCCCATGCATTGGTATCCTTTCTGGGAATCTTTCGAGTCTGCGGTTCACAAGAACCCAAATCTGTCTTCCGTGGATAAATTCAACTATCTGAAGTCACTTCTCACTGGCACTGCACAAAGTTCGGTCGCTGGTCTAGCCCTGACGAGTGCTAACTACGAAAAGGCGGTTAATCTACTGAAACAAAGATTCAGAAATCGGCAGATGGTGATCTCTAGCCACATCGAAGTGCTCACCAAACTCCCCAAGGTGGAATCGATTGGCGAAGTTAAGAAACTCCGAAGCTTGTACGACACAGTGGAATCTCATGTTCGTGGATTAGAAGGTATGGAAATCTCTTCCGAAATGTATGTATGTGGATCAGTCTAGAGGGTCTGTGTTGTTGCAGACGGCAACCGCTGAAGTTGTGCGTCCAGATAATGACACTTCTTCCCTAAGTGTTCGCCTGGTATTTGACTGATGCAGTCAGAGATCTTACATAACTAAGAACCTTAAAGACAGACTGAAGTTACCAGTGATTGGTAGAGAGTCACTTCTGATTAAAACTTTTGGTGAGTCTAATGCCAGACTACGAACATGCGAAATTGTTCAAGTGGGTATCAAAACCATGTGTGATGCAATTGTCTACATACAAGCCTATGTGGTACCAGTCATATGTGGCCCCCTGACCCAACAACCCACAGAGCTCGCGCAGTCTAGCTGTGAACATCTGCACGGCCTCTCTTTAGCTGACAGGTGTGGAAGAGGAGATGTGCCTATCAGTATTCTCATTGGTGCTGATCATTATTGGTCATTGGTCGAAGGAACCATAGTGAGAGGTGCACCGTGGGAACCTGTTGCTCTTGCCACCAAGCTAGGATATGTCCTCTCTGGCCCCATCATGATTATGTCTCACAATGACAATGGTAACACAGTGAATCTTACTGCAACACATGTTCTGAAAGTGGAAGCGAGTGTTGTCAATCGGGATGAAATTGCCTTTGAACTTGGAAAATTCTGGGACTATGAATCACTTGGGATTCGAAATGACAGTTTGTCTCTGTATGACAATTTGTTAGCAAAGTTGAATTTACGGAGGGAAGATATCAAGTACAGCTACCCTTCAAGGAAGACCATGAGCTGCTTCCAGATAATTTTGCATTGTGCAAGTCAATGACCTCGAAATTGATCACCAATCAGTTGTGGTGGAGTAGCCCTGAGTTTCTTAGGGGTGAGAAGGAGCAGTGGCCAAGTCTTAAAATGAACTCTGTTGAAGACACAAGTAATGATGCATATCCTCGCCTAGAACTGAAGAAGGGAAGCTGTAACAACAGCAAGAAGCAGCATGACAGTTCAGTTCTTGTGAACATTGCCTCTGGAGAGGCGACTTCAGAAAATCGGCTAAATCTTGATTGCATCATTCCCTTGGAAAAGTTCAGTAGTCTTCAAAAACTGATGCGAGTCACCGATTTGTCTCTAATCTCAAGCAAAGTAAAACGAAGAAGGAATTGATTGATGGAGAAGTAACGCAAGAAGAGATGGATCAAGCAAGAGAACTTTGGATCAAGGAGGTGCAGAGATCCGTCTACAATGACAAGAACTTTGACCAGGTCAAGGTCTCGTTATCACTGTTTACGGATGACAAGGGAATCTTGAGGTGTGGTGGTCGTCTTAAAAATGCCCCGATTCCATATGATGCTCGTTTTCCGATATTCCTTTCAAGATGTTCACGATTCCCCTACCTGGTTATCAATGACTGTCACTTCAAGGTTCTTCACAATGGTGTGAGGGATACACTCACAGAACTAAGATCAAGATTCTGGGTGACGAAAGGGAGGCAAACTGTGAAAACTGCGATCGGAAACTGTTCTGTTTGTAAGAAGTTACAGGGGAGAAGCTATGCAGTTCCTCCTCCCCCTCCTCTTCCTGAATTTCGGTTGAGTGATGAGTTTGCATTTACACGTGTTGGAGTGGACTTCGCAGGGCCCATATATGTCAAGGATGTATTTGCAAAGAAGGGAGATATGAATAAGGTCTACATAGCTTTGCTCACGTGCGCCGCAACCCGAGCTGTTCATATTGAACTTTTTCCAAATCTAAGTGCAGAGAGTTTTATCAGAGCCCTTGCTCGCTTTAAAGGAAGAAGAGGAATTCCCGTCTTGATTGTCAGTGACAATGGGAAAACTTTTAAGGATTCAAGAGTGCAGGCCCAGCGTCAGCGTGATGGCACACAGTGGAAGTTCAACGTTGAAGCAGCCCCTTGGTGGGGTGGATTTTTTGAACGGCTGGTAAAATCGGTCAAGTTGAGTTTGAAGAAGTGTATACGAAATGCTCGGTTAAACTATGATGAGCTATCTACTGTCCTTGTGGAAATCGAAGCGGCCTTGAACTCACGACCCTTGACATATGTCTTCGATGAAATGGAGGAACCATTAACACCTTCACACCTGATTGTGGGCCACAGAATTTTGTCAGTACCATCAAAAGGCTCTTCGGATGAAGTTGGCCAAACCGAGGAAACACTAACAAGAAGAGCAAAATTCTTACAGCGAATTCTGGATCACTTCTGGAACCGATGGCGGTCAGAATATCTCACACAACTTAGAGAATACCATCGCTATTCTAAGAGAGCAAACTCTCTCCGTAAAGTGCAAGTGGGAGATATTGTGTGTCTACATGACAATAAGATCCCGAGACAGCTGTGGCGCCTTGGAAAGATCGAACGATTACTTCCAGGACGAGATGGTCGAGTTCGAAGTGCAGTAGTAAGAGTTAA